CAGTGTTCATCCCTGGGGAACACCACTGACTACAGGCCCCCAACTGTGTTCTACTCTGCTGATCACAACCCTCTGCACTCTGTCATTCAGCCAGTTTTTATCCACCTCACTGTCCATTCATCTAACCCACAATTCCTAAGCTTACCTACAAGAAAGTTATAGGAGACAGTGTCAAAAGCCTTGCTGAAATCAAGGTAGGTAACACCCACAGCTCTCCCCTCAATTCCAAGTCAGTTCCAGTGATGACAGTACTTCCCTTCTCTTCTTGCTACAAGAGTTTAAGCTACTCCATGGAAATATTGTGAGGGCCAAGCACTAGGACATACACCCTTTTCACAGAAACATCTTTTCAGCACCTGGTGTGAAAGCCCCAAGCTGGGACATTTCATATCCACATAATGTTGTTGGTAGCACACACACCGTCTATCACTGACCTGTAGCTTGACTGTAGCTGACAGTAGCTCCAGTACAGCAGAAGTTGTTGGCAGACAAGAGGAGAGCATACATACAAGTAGTTTTGAAGTTCTGACAATCGGAGCTTTAGGCATGAATCCCTCTTTTCTCTCCCAACAATCAATTAAGCTTTCCCTACCTCCTTCAAGATGTTGTATTTTAAACACTATTCTACCCCATGTTAACAAAATCTCACAGCTTTTTACCTGTGCCCAAATTTAATATCACTGTTCTTCCATCCTTGAAGAGTTTCAACAGTCAACTTAAAACAGCAACCAATACAAAGTCTGATAGTCATTAGGAAATTAAAGCTATCCTATTTCTACAACTATTGTACATGCAATTTCCCCCAGGTTCCCCTGGACATGACTTGTACGTTACTAAGTGTATCATCCCCACACAAACAGGTACACTACACTGTTACAAAACTGGCACTTAATAAACTTTATTGCCATTATCCAGCTTCTCCATCATGAACTTAACCCATTTGTAAAAGCCTGAGTATATTCACCTGACAGGCATGGAAAGGCTACTCTTTAACATAGGGTTTGCTTAAAACATCTGTGCCAACACACAATAAAGCCAACTGCATACATATGTGGTGGGAAGACAAACCATCAATTTCTGAATAAAAGCAGTCCTGAAAAAGTACGCATCATACCTCCACACTCTTCTATAAGATTGGCTATGGTTTCTGCTTCATCTTCAGCCATTTTTAATATATTACTTAGTCCATCCAGAACCACTTGCACAACTTGCGCATCTTTTACTGTCAGCAAATTGCAAAAGGGAGGAATAACATTTTGTTGAATTAAGTATGCCACCTAAGGGGAAAAAAGCAAGTAGTTAAATCAGGAATGGGACAGAAGCAAACAGTGCACCACAAGCACATGTGCAAACAAGTTTAACAAAGCCAAACATTCAAAAGTTACCCAAAAAGAGTATTCCATAGCAGCCACTTTCAGAAATTCTTGTTTTAGCACATTAAAATGTAACATTCATGTATTAGGTTACCAATATATTTAAAGTCTAGAACACTCAAGTAGTAGATACTGTGATTTTTTTCAGTATTAGACAAGGGGTTTCCAAACTTACCTTTGAAAAACAACACCACCACCCCAACCCTGCCACAAATCTAATATTCTGAGCTTAGAAGAAACTAGTATGTTTCTACTCAATGGCTACTATTTTTATAATCATCACATGCTTATCTGCAGCAGAAAAGTAAAAGAGATTGGAGACGCCAAATGACCTTACAGCAGCCTTCCAGTACCTAAAGGGGACAACAGGAAAGCTGGAGAGGGACTTTTAAAAGGGCATACAGGGGTAGGACATGTGGTAATGTCTTTAAACTGATAGAGGGGAGATTTACCTTAGATCTTAGGAAGAAGTTCTTTCCTGTGAGGGTGGTGAGACACTGGCACAGGTTGCACAGAGAAGTTGTGGCTGGCCCCCCCCCAGCCGTGGTAA